AAAAAGAGAGCTTTTTATCTCAGGGTAATATTTGGGGGACTGGATCCACTCAAGCTCGTATCTAATGTGCAGCACACACACTCACGCTGAGCCCGCCAAATCCATGGGGGACAGTGGTGACAAGGAATGAACACAAAGCTGTCGTAATCTAGGCTGGGAAACCTGTTGAACACAGAAGCGCCGGGAGGCCGGTACAAGTAAGCAGACAAAGTCAGAGTCCCCCTCAGGAATGCATACCCGGAGACCGTCCTCTGCTCTATCAGCGCTGCCTGCCACTGTCCGTATTAGGCAGAGTGGTACTTGACGCACCCCAGCCAGCAGGGCAGAGCCCAGCTTTGAGGGCCGTGGTGGGTGATTTCAGAGGTCCAGAATGTCAGATAGGCTTATCTAGACCAGGAGATAGCAGCCTGCCCTGTCAGCTGCCCCCTACCCCACCTTCCTGCCTCCTGCTGTGCTCAGCTTCGGAAGGTCAGCAGCCACTTGTACCCCCCAAGCCTGGGCCACCCCCCGCTGGGAGCCACTGCAGAGGCAGAGGTGGGCAAGGGTCACCGTCAGGAACAAAAGGTATGCAGTGACCCTGCTGGATGCTCACAAAATACAGACATTTCCTCCTCACGAGATAACCCAACAGTTTTCACTTTATAGGCTGGCCCCATTCCTGCTGGTGACAAGAGTCCATGAGTCACTTCCTGCATGCATGTTTTTATGATGTACAAATCCCTTCTGGTCTGCACTGGTTATCTGTGATCACTGAGCAACCCCATGGAGGCTGGTAGAAAGAACCCTGGATCGGGAATCCAGGCTCGTCCTCAATGGTCCCCCAGGTCCTCTGTTTGACTGCGAGGCCCTCTCTTCACAGCCTGGCCCTGGGAGGCCGTTCTTTGTGGGTCTCCTCCTGCATCCATCTATTCTGCTCTGCCTGGCTCTCACCCTCTCCCCTCTCCCCACCCACACCTTCATTCCTCTTACACAGCAACACACTCTCCCTGGAATATATAGCTCTCTGCCTTGTGTTCCCTCAGTGAGGCCTAGCAAATTTCTTCTCATATGTCAAGCTCCAAATCATACCTTTTCTTCCAGGAAGCATTCTCGGATTGCTCCAGTCAGGCTCAGTCATTGCTTTTCTCTACTTCTGCAAAACAGTGTACGCACCTGTCTCATACACTTAGGATATTTATGAAAATAATGGCTAAGCATTTGCTGATCACTTATGATGTACTAGGCAGTGTTCTAAATACTTAACAAAGATTGCGTTAGTTAGTGCTCACAGCAACTCCGTGAGAGAGGGACCATCTTCATTTTACAGAGAACACTACTGAGGATCAGTGATTTAAGTAGCCTGCCCAAGGCCACAGAGCTAGTTGGTGGCTGACTGGTACCGAGACAAGTGCCTGGCACACAGCAGCTGCTCAAAAATTATTCACCTCATGAATGATTAAATAAGTTAATAAATACAGAAACAATGTTTCTGTCTCACAAACTGCTCAGAGCCACTTCTCATTCTTTCAAACCACCTCCCCTGTCAGGTGCCTAGCAAGGCACAGAACACTAGAAACATCTGCTGAAGGAATGAAAAAAAGCATATTGGACTCAACAGAGTCCAAATCCTGACAAAGCCACCCGCTAGCTTCAGATCAATAGCCTCAGGTTCCTGGGCCCCTCTATGTCACCTGTCAAATAGAGAGATGGTACACAACATCCTCTCAAAATACGTCCTTCTGACACTAGGTACATATAAAAGAAAAGACCAGATTTCGGATGATGGCAATTCCCATGTCAAACTTTGTATTGTATTGTTTTGTTTTGTTTTCCTTCTGGGCTGTTTTCCCCGAGGAACATTACACAACTGGATGTGACATTTGATCGGGGTACTACCCTGATGTAGAGACAATATATTAGTCCTAAAAGAGTTAATTTGGCTTGATCCTTGGTTCACTCTATCCTTGGCAAAACAGGTCACACCCAAGGAAAGAATTATTAAGTGCCTGACAAAACCCTCATAACTAATCAATAATGAACCATGATCCCAAGTTAAATTATGCAACTGACACCTAAGCCACTGCTCTAATGACATTGTAGGTCCTTCTCCCTGTCCCCTGGCACCCCCACCAGAGGCTTTCTTCTCCAGACAGATGCTGGTCAATCTCCCCCAACCACCACTGCCAACATACATGCATGCATATATACGTACACACACACTCACACACACACACTCACATGCTTGTGAAATGTTAAAGCCCAGACCCACTCCAGATGGTGCTGAGACGTCCACAACAATGGAAAGGTGAGGGTTCTGGCTGAATTCCATTTATTTCTACTCTAACTGTGGCTAGCCAGGAGCTTGGCTATGTGCCTGATAACCTGACACACCTGTGCTATATGTCTTAGCATTAATGGTCATCCACGTGCATGCTAATACCCAGCATTTCTTGTTTGGCTAATGCTCAGCATAAACTACTAAACCCAAGGATACCTAAAAGAGGTGTGTGAGTGAGACAGTGTCTGTTCATGTTAGAAGAGAGAGAGGACCCATGTTCTGTGTTTTGTTTGACTCACACCAATACAAGCTCTAGGCTCTTAGAGCTGAGTATTAACCATGCACACAAATCCAATATGGTGAGAGACTATACCATAACCGGAATGCACATTAACAGTCCCTATAGAGGACACCTGTTATTTATCCATCTCACACCTCTATGACCTTGGGAACCTGCTCCTCCCTCATGTCAAGCATGTGATGCTTGAAAGGGCTACCAAAGACAGTAGCCAGTTCTCCTGGTTTGGGCACAATAATTGGTCCAGGGACAGCCCAATCAGAATCCTTCCCTGAGATTTTATTCAATATTGAGCAGGAGGAGAGAGAGTCTAGCCTTTGGGTCATAGAGCTATAAAGATATGAACTAGAGACCACCAACATGGAGAAAATCTGTTCACAGGATGTTAGAATGGAGCCAACATAGAGCAAAACGTCCAAGACATAGATGGAAGGAGAGAGGCTAGGAAAGACTGTCTGGACCTTCTTGTTTATACAAGTTAACGACTCCCTTTTGTGTTTAGCTTTGAGCTGGGTTTCTCAAGCGTGTGGTGCAAGTGACCTTACACAGTCAGAGCCGTACTTGGACCATATTTCCAAATGTGTTCCACGCTTCAGGATCTAGATAGTTCTTAGGAGATGGGCTACCACACATGTGAAAGGTCTTTATTGCTCCTCCTACGAGGCATAAAATTCCTGAGCAAGATGCACTCTCAACTCAGCATCGCTAACTACAGACGTTAGTGCTTTCCCTTTGTTAGCTCAGGCACCAGTGGTGACCTGCCAACCCCAAGAGTCCACAAGTACTCTTCTATTTCAACCCATCAAAGCTTGTAAAATAAGGCCTGGCCAGACAGGGAGAGGCAACCGACCGACTGGTGATTTTTGAAAAAAAGCACATCTCCTGGTGGTCGGGCCTCCATCACATCCCGGTGCTGGCTCATTCGCTCTGCAGGTCTGTCCTTGGATCACCAAGAGAGTCCTCTCAACAGCCAGAAACTGCTGGGTGCAGGAGGCCATGGCATTTCCTCATAGAATAAGGTCTCTGAAAACCTTCCTGAGAAAACACCTTGCAGCCCGGCCACCTGACTTCTATGGGACCTTTTCAAAAGAAAGCGGTCACATGCTGTTACTGAAAAGAGTGATGCTTTGAAAACAAACGGTGTCCCCCTCTCCAAGTCTGAAGAGCTTCCCAGTGATAGAGGAGCTGGGAAGTTACAGCAGCTAGGTGGGGGTAGCACCTCAGGGACCGGTCGCACCCCTTTCTCTCCTTTTTCTTTAACACTTCTGTCTCTGCTAGGAAGGGCTAAAGCTTGGCAGGTTATGGGCAGGCACTGCCTGGATGGCTAGAGCTCTGGGCTGAAGTTCTGGCCTGGTGGAATGCTCCTCCTATGTCCCATAAAGTCGCCCCAGGCTTGGAGGAACTTTGGCAGCTGTCCCCCCAGGGGCAGGGGAAAGCGACCGTATCCCACGGTACACTCAACAGCTCCTCATCACCAAAACAAAAACACAACAGTCCTGATCGCCATGGAGAGTTCAATCCTGTTGTCTGGGATTGGCACCAACTAAAATTCCAAGGGCTCTGGCTGAGCTACCTCCTGTGAGGTCTAAATACAGCATGCTCACTTTTAACCTAAACATACAGTCTGGACCACTGCCCGGGGCTGACAGCCCCCCAGGGCCAGCGGGAAGTCTTGACTTCTGGCTGCCCATTAGGCAATGGGCATCGCAGTGAGAGAAGAGATGTGATGCCCTGCTTATTTAGGCCACGTTCACCAATGTTGCCTATGGCCAAACAGTGGGGGAAGTAATCAGCTTGTGGAGGGTTAACTGCGAGTGTGACCCTGAGCACAGAAATGCATCCTGGGGAAGAGGGTGGGGGGAAGAAGGGAAAGAGAGAGGGAGAAAATGCCGTAAGGACCAAAGACCTATTTCTTAGCCAATTAAAGTCAAGGCATCTTTCTACAATGTTGGCTCCCCCGGGAATGGAATTTAGGGCGTAAGCTCTAGAATCAGACAGACCAAGGTTGCCTCCTTGTTATGTGATCTTGAGCAAGATAATTGACTTCTCGGTTTCCATAGCTCTAAAATGGACCACAGGACCATGGAGGTGTTCACTAAGACCATGTTTATAAAGTGCCTGGCACGCAGAAGTTGCTCAATAAATCATAGCTACTAGCAGTGGCAGTGGTAATAGTAGGAGGATAGTGCCAAGCATGCCTTTATTCTCTCTGCCATGGAGAGGACACAAGAAGAGTAGCTGAGGCCACCACGGTAAGACAGAGGCTCCCACCCAGGATAAGCTGTGCATGTACAGACCAAGGAAATCTTCAACAGAGCAAAACGCTAGCACACGCCCACACCTATTAAGAACCTTAGAATGGCAGGATGGCGACAGCTTCCCAAACTCCCGGCAAGCCAACCCGCGTGCCCCACAAGGGTAAGAAATCACAGGATTTTCCCTTACCTTGGTGTTCATACAGGACTTCCCTCGCTTATACTCCTTGTGGGATCCACGTTTGTCCAGTTTGTACCACAGGGCTTTGGCTTTCCAGGTGGTCACCTTGGACTTGAGCTTGGAATAAAAATTCCTGTGGTCCAGAGGGTCTAGGTCCAGATGTCGTGTGAGGATGTTGAAGGCCTGGAGGGTGCCTTTGCACGTGGAAGCCTGGACAAAGTTCTCAAAAACCTGCCCGGCCTGGCTCTGCTTCTCGTCTTCGTTTTCCCCCATGTTTCAGGAGCTGTGTAGCACAGTGGTATGGAGAGGCTGGAGGAGAACACCATGAAGTACCTGGAGACACGTCACACCTGCAAAGGTAGGTGGAGGCAGAGGTGAGCTCCATGGCAATGCAGGCAGGGTGGGGGGAATGGGTGCTGAGAGGGAAAAATAAAATTCCTTTGGGATGTTAAGCATACTAAACATTAATACTTAATGCTAAACATAAACCATCTATAGAAAATGTACAATCATCCCTTCTGACCTGACAATGGTGTCTTGCTGGCAATCTCTTTCTCCCCCCACCCCCCACCCCCACCAACACCCCACTCCTCTCGCTGGTTGTAAAGAACTACAGATTGCTCGGGGCGCCTGGGTGGCTCAGTTGGTTAAGCGACTGCCTTCGGCTCAGGTCATGATCCTGGAGTCCCGGGATCGAGTCCCGCATCGGGCTCCCTGCTCTGCAGGGAGTCTGCTTCTCCCTCTGACCCTCCTCCCTCTCATTCTCTCTGTCTCAAATAAATAAATAAAAATCTTTAAAAAAAAAAACAAAAACTACAGATTGCTCAAAGATATGGCCTGGCTGATGTCAGCATTACCTGGTCAATCTTGCTATGAGCTAGATAGTTCTAGAAATAATAACTAGTAAGGGGGGGGGGAACAAAGCAGAGAAGCGTACTAGATTTTGTGAGCACCACTGAAAACCTTTAATTCGTGGTGCTGTAAATTAGTTGACTAATATTAGTGTAATCTAAGCACAGAACAGTGCACAGACCAAAACATTCAAAGCACGTGCCTCCCTAGATTTCATGGCCTTCCCACCTATCCTAAGACACCAAACTTGAAAGTCTTCCTCCATTAGCTACTACAGGGCAGGTCCTTCCCCCATACAGACGACAAACGGCAACTTCTCGAAACTTCTCTCTACCTCCTCATATCTGCTGCAAGCACGGCATCCACCTCAGTCAGACAGACAAAAAGACACAGACACACACGGGTCTCCTCCCCACACACAAAAGGAGTCTGTGCTTTGTTAGCCCAAGCTGTGAGCTATTTGGAACAAGTGCTCAGGCCAACAGAAGGAAAAATGCGATGGGTATTCATTCACATCACGAAAATAGTTCGCCTGGGTTTTGGCCATCAGCCTGTCTCTCTGCACCACTTTAACCTTAGGCATTTCTTAGGGAAATCACTCAAGTTTCAAAGGAACAAAAATAAGTTAGGGTTGATTTTCCAAAGCAATGGCTATTTTTCCAGAATCCAAAGCTAGTGCAAGAAGACAAGCATAGAGGAACTAGGACTGCACAGCTGTCCGGAGGGCTCGAGAGGGTCGGTAAACAAGAGGATACGGCATACCAAGCTCCCCCAGACAGAGGCCTGGCGGGAGGAGGTCAGCAAACACAGAGACAAAGCCCTTGGGCTGGGTGGCTTCCCACTCTCCAGACAGAAACACTATTGTGGGTGCATCTGGATTGTGGGCTGGCCGTATAATACTAAAAGCAGAGAACGGTGTTTGCTTTCTTCCTTCATCCTTTACTCATCCATTCAGCAACAATTACTGGTGCCTAAGCAAGAGCCATGCATCACCCTAGGTCCTGGGGATGCAGAGATGGGGCCTAGTGAGGAAGACAGGTGTATAAAGAGTTGATTATAAGACAATAGGCAAGCACTTTTAAAAGATGAACATGGTGCATGGAAGCCACATAAGGAGGTGTCCAACAGAGCCTAGAGGTGTCCAGAGGAGCCACAGGGCGGAGGGGGGCTGGGATGCCCAAAACACTACAATTTTAGGAACAAGGTGAATTTCATTAGAAGACCAGGGAATAGAAGTTCTCAGGCAAAAGAACATCATACAGGCGTTGAGTCTGGAAAGAGCCAGGACAGCTGCAGAATGAGAGCAAGTCCAAGGCATCTAGAGTTCCAAACTCATGACAAGAGGTGATGAGCGCATCCAGGGCAGATCACGGAGGGGATCTGGCTTCTCCCGTGGGCTGCGGGGTGCAGGAGATAGAGCAGCGGGCCGAGAGGAGTCTCTGCACAGAGGAGGTGGCGGAGATGCATGGGAGAGGGAGGCGGCCATGAACAAAGCCACCAGGAGAGCCCCAGGAGAGCGCCCCCCCCCCCCCCCACACGAAGGCTGTACGGCAGCCCCGTGGGCACCAGCTGCAGGGAGCAGCCGGCTGGGGGCAGACACCCAGACGCTGCTGGCCGAGGGGGCACCGGCAACAGCATGGGACCCCTCCCCTTCCTCCCCTCCACCCCAGCAGTCTCCAACGGGCCTGGCACTGTGCTCAGCTGAAGGCCCATTCCCTGCTCCAGGCCTAGCCAAGTTCCAGTCTTCAGCCAGGCCTCTGTCCTCCAGGAGCACTGACCTGGCGGCTCTGTTCCCCGCACCTCAGCAAAGCCAGAAAACGTGGAGAGCGGGGCCTGTGCTTTGCCAGGTGCCAATAAGACATGGATTCCCTCCTGGAGGCTCTCTCGGCTCCTCAAACCTCTGCAGTGCTCACCTCAGCATCGCTCACATAAACATGGCCTCCTACTGTTTCATCAACTCTCCCCCAGGTACAGGACTTGCCACCCAGAGAGCATAAACAGCAAGACCCGTTTTCGAAGGAGCATCCTTGGTCTCTATCTTTGGAGGCACTCTGCGCCCAGCGCTGAACAAAGGATGCGGTCGCTGACTGAGAGATCCACAGCTACTTGAATTCTGCTGCCCTCCTGCAGTCCGTTCTGGGGACGGGCAGGTGGGTTCAGAGAAAGCCACAGGCTTCAGGGCGAGTGGAGCCCAAGTCCAAAGCTCGGTTTGGCCCCTGGCTGCCCTCGTGGCCTCACACAAGCCACAGAAGTGCTGAGCCTCAGTTTCTTCTTTTGTAAGAGACGTGATAATGTCCATCTTGCGGGGTGGTTGTGCAGAGAAAGAGAGGTGTGTGGTGGCAAGCCCAGCCCTGGGAGGTGCCTGGCAGAGGTGAAAATGGGTGCTGCATCCCTCACGTGGGGCAGATTTGTGTCTGCGGAATGTACCGGTTTGGAAAAATACTTCTGTAAATCAATTCTTCAAGTTGCCAACTCCTCCCTGTCTAAAATGGTGAACTGGTCAGAGATATCAAGCCAAACCTGACTCCCAGAGAATCATTTACGAACTGGAAGAACCTGTCTCCTTCCAGCTCCAGCTGCCGCCCCTCCTCCCCGCAAAGGAAAATGAACAACTTGATCTTAGGGCTCTAGTGGAGAGCCAAAGGTGGTGCAGAGGGTGCTCGCTGGGCGTGGGGGCTCCAGGAGCTCTCTCTTATCTAGAGGGAGCTACCTGGGGCGGTGGGGGTGGTGGAGAGAGATGGCAGGACAGCAGAGAGCACCACCTTTGGCCTATCCCAGCAGCTCGTACCAGCCTCAGACCTGCCTCCCCGCTCTGAAGGGTCTGGTCTCAACCTGTAAAATCAGCTTTCCAGTTGAAGTCAAAGACCTTAAAAATGACTCTCACATCCATGCAGGCTATGTTTCCTCCAGAAGAGCCTCAGAGTGTTTAGAGTCTGCCAGACGAGGGTGTGAACCTGGTCTCACGCACCAGCGAGGCACGTGACATATCTCCGCCTGTTTCCTCATCTGCAGAATGAGATGATCATACTCGCTTCATAGGGCCGTAAGGAATGAACTCCATCATGGATGTGACGTATTTAGCACCTGGCAGCTACATGATAACCAGCAGTAATTATGATTCCTCAAATGGCCCAAACGTCATCAAACCAGAAGGATGGGGCCAGATGCCCAGGTCAAGGAATTATCTGTACTTTAAAACTAGAAGCCATGGGCTTTCAACTTAGAAGATGTGGGTTCAAATCCACTTCCTAGCTGTGTCGCCTTGGACAACTCATTTAATTTCTGAGATTTCAGTTCCCTCAAATATAGAGTGGGGAAGGAGGTTTCCATAATGAACTGAAAACGTCCTTGGTACAAGGAAGTTCTGTTAATGAACTAGAAAGGCCGACTTGGAAGGGCTCTGGGAGTCTGTGTCTGAGCTCCAAGCCCCTTTCCAGAGACTAGAGTGGAATTCTTCTGGTAGATACTCTTTCTCCTTCCCCAAAAGAAACTCAAGGATTGGTTAAATCAGAGGATCCTGGGTAGTAGCTCTTGTTAAAATTTTCCTTGTCAACCACCACCCAGCTGTTGCTTTTTAGAGTTTGATACGAAATATAAATAAAACCACCCAGAAATATGAAAGGTTTCTGCATTTTCTGGGAAGAAACAAGACGTGATGCTTTAGTTTCCAAGAATAGCCTTGAAGCAATTTGTTTTTTGCCAACTGGAGTCCCTTATTTGTGGTTCTGCCTGTGTGACTTTGTGAGTCACAAAGCCAACCCCCTTTCCCTGCCCCCGGCTGCTACAAATTAAAAAACCTCAGGGCCTCCAATTGCTGGCAACAGCATGAGGAACGGGCTTGGTCCAGGGCATCTGGGAGACAAGTTCAAGGTTGACACAGAGCCCCTAAATCCTCTCAAATGAGAGAAGGAACCTCCTGACTGAAGAGCTTCCAGTGCACTCATATTTAGGAACCCTCCCCCTGCTTCTGTCTTCCCTGGGCCTCATCACCTGCCAAACGGCATCAAACAGGGTGACCAGGTGGTGGATAAATGACAGAGTTCTATAAAAACTTGAGCGCCGGAGGGACACCAGGCAGAATCTTCTCACAAAGCAGCAGTTTGGCCCAGAAGAAAAGCTCAGCCCTCAACCACACCCTCAAAGCTCAAAGGCAATGTCTCAAGGTAAACTGAATCTAAAGATGAACTTCTTGGGGTGGGGGGGGGTGAAACAGGGGAAGGGGATTAGGAGATATATATTTCCAATTATAAAGTCAGTCACAGGGATGAAAAGGACAGCATGGGAAACAGAGTCAATAATACTGTAATAACTTCGTACGGCCACAGATGGTAACTACACCTGTGTGATGCACGCTGGAAGCCAATACATCATGTCCACTTGTACTTGAGTTAAGTAAGTAGATCCAGTAAGAACTAGACAATAAAAACCAGACCCCCCCTTGCCATGGACACTGCCAAGCTCCCCATTCAGACTTACCATCTCCCAGGTACCCCGCAAT